TGACAGGAGGGTGATGGAGCACTGGAACAGGCTGCCCAGGGAGGTGGTGGAGTCTCCTTCTCTGGAGATATTCAAGACCCGCCTGGACAAGATCCTGTTCAGCCTGCTGTAGGTGACCCTGCTCTGGCAGGAGGGTTGGACTAGATGACCAACAGAGGTCCCTTCCAACCCCTACCATTCTGTGATTCTGTGATTCTTTAATGCAGGGAAAGAAAATGAAGTTATCAGAATGGATTCTATACACAGCTCAAGTACTTTCACAGAGAGTCCCAGGAAGGTTGAGGTTGGAAGGAACCTCGGGATGTCATCCTGTCAGGGCCGCCTGCTGCAGCGAGAGACAGCTAGAGCCGCTGCTGCAGGATCATTTCCAGACTGCTCGTCAGTATCCCTTGTCTTGTCACTGGGCACCACCGGAGAGAGCTTGGCTGCGTCTACTCTGCAGCCTCCCTTCAGGCCTTTTCTTTGTGTTGATGAGATTCCCTCTGAGCCTCCTTGTCCCCAGGCTAAACAGTCCCAGCTCACTCAGCCTTTCCTCAGAGGAGAGATGCTCCAGTGCCCTAATGATCTTAACAGCCATTTGCTGGGCTCTCTCCAGTACGTGCATGTCTCTCCTACTGGGGAACCCAGAAGCGGGCGCAGTGCTCCAGCTGTGGCATCACCAGTGCCAAGTGGAGGGGAAGGCTCACCTTCCTCACCTCACTCCTCCTGATGCAGCCCAGGACAGGGTTAGTGTTCCTTGTGGCAAGGGCACGTTGTTGGCTCCCGGTCAGCTTGGTGCCCACCAGGACCTGTAGGGCTTCTTCTGCCAAGCTCCTTTCAAGCCAGGCAGCCCGCCGCCTGTGCTGGAGCCTGGCATTGTCCCTCCCCAAGTGCAGGACTTTGCACTTCCACTGGCTGAACTTGCTGGGGCTCCTGCCTCGGCAGGGTAGGAGCCTGGGGTGATGCCGAGAGCAGCCCCAAGCCGTGACTCCGTGCAGGAGGAGGGATTTGGGCGCCGCCGTCGGGAGGCT